CTGGCAGGTGAGGTGGGCAGTCCCCTTGAGGACTAAACCACTGAGTCTAGCAGGGCTCTCTTCAGGAGATCCCACAAGCCTGCGTTCTCTTCCTTCCTTCCTCTTCTTATCCATCCCCAGCTTTATGCTCTGATATTGCTCTGCTTCACACCATGTCTGCTAGATCATGGGGGATGGGAAATTCCTCCCTAGCTTCTGCTGCTCCATCCTCCCAAGCACATCCCGGGGGCATGCGGAACCCCTGTGTCCTCCTCTGTTAAGTAAAGTGCTGCAGCTAGATGCTGCCCAACTTCCTAACAGTGCAGGCATTTTCTTCAAAGGGTGGTGAGTTACTTTTTTCCTCAATCTCCAGAGCAGAGAGTCCTTCTCCCCGCCCTTCTAAGCAGCTCAGCCTCTGCCTGCACTGTCTGGTACCACAGTAGCCTCAGCCACAAGCAGCTCTGTATATTTAAGTGGGAAGTCATTAAAATGACACAGAACTTTAAATTCAGTATTTCAGCCGCACTGGCCACTTCTCAGCTGCTCCACGGCTGCCTGTGGCTAGTGGCTGCAGCATTCGACACATGGGAAAACATTGCTGCCATTGCAGAGCGTTCTCCCCAACCCTCCTGCTCCCCTCAGGGTCTGAGTCCTGGGACCGCCTAACGCCCTTATGTGCAGAGAGGCAGACACTGCCCCCATGATCTGATCTGTATCTGCATGCCCACAGCATCCTCTTTCATTTCTTTCTGAGAATATTTTAACACTCTGTAAGTCAGAGAACGACCTCCAAGCATGGGTCCCATACTGAACTTTTCAGCAGCCACCCTCCCTACGGTCAACCCTGTCCATGTCACAGGGCTTCATACAATGGCTACCTCCCCAGCTTCTCTGTGCACCAGGACTCAAGGGCTCCAGGTCAGGGCTCACAGGAACACAGTGCTGCCTGCCGGGAGCCGGCCGGTTCTGCCCTCCGGGATTCCAGTGGGAGCAAGACGCATGCTGTCAGGATTCTTCCAGCCAACGTGGGCTGGGACCAGGGGCTGCCCCCGCTTCCCAACCCACCCACCGTGGCTCCATTAGGGGGCCTCTGGCCTCCATTTCACACTTCTCACAGGGCCACAGTCCTAGCAGTCCTCGGGTGGCACCCGAGCCCCTGCGTGCAGGATGCAAGGACACAAGAAGCACGTACTGTCCCGGACCTGGAGGCGCTGAGCATCGAGGCTGGGCAAGGCCGGTTTACACGGCAGTCACTGTGATGGGCAGGCCCTCCTGCTGCGGCATCTTTCCACCTGGTCTCCTCCCCAGGTTTCTGTCTTGCAAAGCCTGGGAGAGGCCCAGCTGCCTGCAAATGTCAGTGCCTCCCAAGTCAGTGTGGCAATACTGGCTTGCTTCCATTTGAAATTCTTCCCTTGCTGGCTCTACGAGCTGCAGACCCTTCCCATCTGGTTCTTCTCCCGCCTGTGCAACCTTACCTGCTCCTGTTCACCTGGGGGCACCTCTGCTTTGCTTGCCCTGAAAGGCTTCATTTCCCAGCTTTCCACCTTTCACTCTCTTTTCAGTCTATTCATTTATGCTGTTTTCTATTAGCTGTTGCCAAATCTATTCAAGCTGCTCTGGGAGGCTGGTCTCCATAGTCTGCATTACGGCCTCCCTTGCCTTCTGGCATCCCGCCGGGGTCAGCCAATGGGAGACATCAGAGGAGATGGGTGGGTGAGAGGAAACAGGGTGGGGGTTATGGTCCTTCCTTCTTACTCCCTCACAGTCTGAGGGATTCTGCTGATTCTGGCAGGCCCTTATTTTCCCCAGACCCTTCAGCCAGGCTCCCAGTCACACTGTCCCGCCTGCCCCCTGCATTGTCCCTTCAGGCCTAGGGGCAGGGATGGCTCCTCCTGTTGATTTCCAGGCACTTTACTATTCCTCTTCTGTTCTCTTAACCCTGCCCCTGCCCCTGTAAACACTCACTTCTTCAAACTTTCTGCTCTCAACACTTCTGAATGTGCTGTGTGCTTCTGGCCAGGAGCCAGAAGGACGGGGCCCATCCCCACATGTCCCGTGGTCTGTAAGCGTTTGGGAAACCACCCAAACATAGGGGCATGATGCAGTGGCAGCCAGGCACTGCTGCTGTTTCTCATGGTCCTGGCTATTGACTCAGCCCAACTAGGTGGCTCTGGCTCAATGTTGCTCAAGACGCTGCAGTCGGACAGTGGCTGTGGCCGGAGCTGCCCCACGGGCTTTCTCCCTGGCGTCTGTGGCTGTGTGCTGGCATCTCAACTGGGGCATCCACTTGTGGCTACGGCTTCCTCACAGCATGGCAGCTCGTTCCAAGAGCGAGCTCCCAGGAAGGAGCCACGTGGAAGCTGTATTGTCGTCACAAGCTAGTCTTTATAAAGTCACACAGCATTATTTCTGTGGCTCTGTACTCGTCAGAAGCTCGTGACCAAATCAAGGCCATCTATAGTCAAGAAGAGAATTAGTCTCCACCGCTAATGGGAACAGCCTTACGGAATTTGTGAACATATTTTACAACTAGCACAGATGGAAAATTTCTGACACCTTCCCTGATGGCCATCCTGATCCATGTCATCCACACACACACACACACACACACACACACACACACACTTGGGTTCCCCAGGCAGAATACAATGTCTCTTATGGACTCTTGTCTCCTCGTTCCAAACCCCTGGGTCACAGGTCCTGTTGACTCCACCCTCAAATTGAGCTCAAATTCCGCAGCTTCTCCATCCCCCGCCACTGCCCACATTGTGCCTCTTCCACCGTCTCCTCTTGGTCACTGTTGCCCTTCCTCCTTCCCAGAGGTTACTACAGCCACCATTGGAAGTCACCTCAGACTGTACCACAGCTCTTCACTTTCCTGATCGGGAGCCTGTGTACCAGAGAGGTGAAGGGAGTTGCTCCAAACTGCACAGCTAACTGAAGGCACAGGCAGGCCAGAACTCAGGTCTTCTGGTGACTAGAGATGGGCGCCTTCCTCACTGCTTGAGGGTAAATATGTGGTTATTCTTGGAAAGCAGACTCCCACCAGAGCCCCGGGACAGCCTCTCAGCCTCTTCATTCTAGGCCTAAGTATGGTCTCTATTGCTGAGTTTTGCAAAGAAATTGCTGTGAGAGAAATAAACAGCCACTTGTATTATTTTCTTTATTCTAATTTACCATTTAAGTAGGCATTTCCAGATTTCTGGGCGTCATCGCCTCATGAAGGAACTATTCTTGCTCTTAAGGAACTTCCATTCTAAAATTATACAAGCCACAGACAGAGGAGATAGACACACAGAGACACACTATGCTTTTCTTTTTTTGGAAAGGGCTGGGGGAAGTGCAGAGAAGGGAGAGAAAATAGAAGAGGGTAGAGAAAGATCAGCACTGTTTGGTGGATGAAAATAACACAGAACTTGACAGGCTCTGTCCCCAGGGATAAGAAGGGATTTCAAAGCTGCACAACTATGTATTTATTTTTGCATATGGAATCAGCCATTTTATGCTACTGATAAAATCAAGGACAATTAGACCAAATTGAGCTGTAATTTTGGATTGAAAGTGTGATTCTTTCACTGAGAACTCCCTCCCACCGCATCTGAAATTACTAACTGCCAAAGACACCCGGAGCCATCAGCCTGGATGGTGTGAGCTCATTGCTTGTCAGAACCGTAGACACTGAGAAGATCTATGTGCTCCTGCAGAGGCTTTAGAAAGTCTGGGTGAGATGCTGATTAAGGACTCACCTCAGGGAGCATTATTTAAAGTGTTTGCTTGTTTACACTTGGCTCAACTTTTGGTACTGAGGAAGAAAAAGGGATCTCAGAACCCCTGAAGTATCTGGGCCACTGATTGTGGGTTTTGGAGGAATGGGGGGTGGAGGCCACATCCCACTCAAGAGCTAGATTTTCCTTACAACTTGCTTCTCAAAATGTGCTCAGCTTCCCTTAAACTTAAAAAGAAATTCTCTCAACTCTTTTCTCCACGTCTCCCTTTCTTTGCCAACCTGGTTCATAACAACATAATAATAAAGTTAAAAGGTCAGACTCTCTGAGGACAGGCAGACCTAGGGTGGGGGACCTCCTCTCACTCAACCATTTTGGGGTAACTGGGAAAAGTGAGTTCTCCCCTCCAAGCCTCGGGTTCCACCTCCACTAAGCGCAGGGAAGACAGATCTGCCTCCCAGATTTGCTGATGGAGTTGGTGGGGTGATGTGTGTAAAGCACACGGTACCTGCCTGACAATCAGGGTTGAAAAACTGTTTGCCGGCCAGGCACGGTGCTCATGCCTATAATCCCAGCACTTTGGGAGACCGAGGCAGGAGGATCACTTGAGCTCAGGAGTTCAAAACCAGCCTGGTCAACATGGTGAAAACCCGTCTCTAAAAATATAAAACTTAGCCAGGTGTGGTGGCATGCATCTGTAGTCTCAGCTACTCAGGAGGCTGGGGTGGGAGGATCTCTTGAGCCTGAGAGGTAGAGGTTGCACTGAACTGAGATGGCACTGCACTCCAGCCTGGGTGACAGAGACAGACTCTCTCAAAAAGTAAATAAAAAAGAAACCAAAAACCAAAACAAACAGAAACTCTGTGCCGTCATTCTGATCCTTATTGCCACCATCACAGGGCTCAGGCTGCCTCAGGCTCTTCTCCTGGAGCCTCTAACTGATGCTGAGTTTTCTCTTTCCTCTCTCTGCTGGATTCCTGTTGGGATGCTGGGCTGGGCTGGGTGTTCTTGGTGCCCAAGAGGTGTGAGACTGCAGTGCGTGCTTGCTTGGTCGGTGTGGCCAGGAGGCAAGGAGAACAAAGCTTTTCTGAAGCACAGCAGGGCTGGGTCCAGCTGAAGTCTAGGAGAAGGCAGGACAGAACTCATCTCTGGGCTTTATCCCTCAGGAAGCAAAATCCAAGCTGGTGGGTCCGGAGACACCGGATCAAGGAGATGTAAGCCTTGCACTTCCCGGAAGGATTAAGTGCCTTTGGCTTAGGGAGCCCACAGGGAGTCTTTAATGAGAGGCCACACAGCACTGGGAATGCACGGCCAGGACTTCCAGTGCTCCTCTCTGTGCTGGAGGTTGGCATCTGGGCTTGAACAAACATGAAAAAGCCCAACATCCCAGGCCTTTCTCTCTATCCTTTTCAAGACTTGTCTGACCCTCCCACCTTCCATCATTAGAGCTGGATTTTGTCTCTTTTCTGTAGGGGAAGGAAGAGGCAGAGGCTGAGTGTGGTGTTGGTAAAGACAAGGGCCTTGTTGGTGAATGGGGACTGGAAGGAGGAAAGGTGGGCAGACAAAAAGGAGGATCTTCAGCCGCTTTCCGGAGAAATCATACTCAACTGTGCAATCTGTGTTAGGCACAGTTCCTGTTCTAAGGGTCTCATGAGGGAGAGAGAAGGACGACAGATAATGCAGCAGGTAAGCACAGGGCTCACTGGGAGGGAGCCCACAGGCATGCCATTCGAGGGGCCAGGAAAGGCTCTCTGGAGAAGGAAGTGTCTGGACTAGGACACAGAGGGGAAGTGAGCAGAAACCAGGAGTCAGCCAGGTCACGGGGGTGGTGGGAGGAGTCCACCACTGCCATGGGGTGTGAGTGTGATATGGTTTGGCTGTGTCCCCACCCTGATCTCATCTTGAGGTGTGGTTCCCATACTCCCCATGTGTCCTGGGAGGAACCAGGTGGATATGATTGAATCATGGGGGTGGATCCCCCTGTGCTGTTCTCATAATAGTGAGTTCTCATGAGATCTGATGGTTTTAAAACGGGCTTCTCCCCACTTCACTCTGCACTTCTTCCTGCTGCCATGTGACAAAGGACGTGTTTGCTTCCCCTTCCACCATGATTTTAAGTTTCCTGAGGCCTCCCCAGCCCTGCAGAACTGTGAGTCAATTAAACCTCTTTTCTTTATAAATTACCCAGTCTTGAGCAGTTCTTTATAGCAGCATGAGAACAGACTAATACTCTCTCTCTCTCTCTCTCTATCTGTGTGTGTGTGTGTGTGTGTGTGTGTGTGTGTGTGTGTGTGTACTTCAGTGCTACAATCTGCTTAGGGTAGCAGGAGCTGCAAGTGTGAGGAGGGGACGTTAAGAAGTAGGGAGGTGGTTGAGCACAGTGGTTCACACCTGTTATCCCAGCACTTTAGAGGGCTGAGGCAGAAGAGTTGCTTGAGCCCTGGAGGACAAGTCTGCAATGAGTCATGATTGCATGACTGCATTCCAGCCTGGGTGACAGAGTGTCACTGGGTGACAGTGGTTTAAAAAAAGAAGTGGAGAGGTTGTCTAGGCCCATATCTCAGAGGCCCTGAAGGATATGCATTTCCTCAGCTAGGTCATGGGAAGTACCACAGCAGGACTGTAACTTAGATCAGCCAACACTTCCCTTTTCCTGGCGACACATGCCTGGGGGATGTGTGGTCTTGGAAGGTCACACATCCAGCTGATTCCTTTCTGCTTTGGTGAGTTAGTAGACTCGAGGCAGCATTATTTGTTCATGCTTTTACTTAACAATTGAAGCCAAACAAACATGTCTTCAGAGGCTGTATTTTTTAAATTAAATAGCATATGTACATTGGTTTAAGAAGTCAAACATAACCAGAAGGTGTATAATAGAAGACCGCCATTCTTGCCCCATCTGTCTGCCTCCTAATTCTTCCTCAAAGACAACATCTTCAGTTACTCACCTTTATATCTGTGAACAGTGTATTTGGGATGCTTTTGCACTTTTTCAGTGTTAGATTTATTGTGGAAAACCATGCTGTTTTTGAAACACTTATGTCACCGCTTTCAGTGACATCAGTGGTTAGCTGAGTGTGTGCAGCACAGCCACGCCCCTCACATACAGGAACAGTGCTTTCTTCTTGTTAGCTTTTTGTTTTTCTGGGAGTTTGTAATTGTCGCTTTGTTCAGTTTTTGCATGTAACTATCACTGATTCATTTCTAACCTCTCTAGCTGAGCTCCAAGTCTCCTTCTATGCCATCAAGCACTGCAAGCCTCTGCTCTCAGCCTGGAAGCCCTCTGCCTTCAAAGGCCCTTGAGGAGAACATTTGGAAACTCTGCTTCCTCAGGTAGAAGCAGCTATACAAAACTTAAAACAAAACTAGAATAATTTTAGACTTTCCTTTTAATTACCCTGAAAACTACTCTTGCCCATATGCATGCATTGGTTTTCTGAGGTTGCAAAATCAAATCCTCTTGGTTTTAAATCCACTAAAGCCTCTTTTGCCTGTCTGATTTATACAACGGTGTACAGGAAATGCAGCTGTTATTACTTCCAGGTGCACACACAGTAATTTAACTAAATGCTATCAAAGCCTTTCCAAGTAAAAAGGCCTCCTGGGCTTATTTTAATGAACAGATAAAGCTAATTTGTAATTAGTACATTCAGTTGTTAATATGCAAATGAGGCCTGCTGTTATCTGTAATTAGCACCAAATTCTTGATTGCTAAGGATGCCACTCAAGTGCTTGGGAAAGCCTGTAATCCCCACTCAAGTCTCCAGCCACCCGAGGACCCCCAGACCTTGCCTCCAGCCTGCATTCTCCTCAGCGCTCTCACCCAGTTACCCATCTGCCTGCCTGTTGGACCTCTCCTCTCTGTGTTCCAGATGCACCTAGAACATATCTACCACTGAACTCAAGTTCTGTTCCCTCCCTATACTTGGAGCCTCTTCTAAGAAACCCACTCCTCAGTGGTGACCTGTCTTTCCCTCTTGTGCCACCCTCTCTAACAGGGTCCCCTCGTCAGTGAATATACCACCTCTATGCAGTCACCTCACTCAAAAGCCTGCCCCTCCTCACATACTCTTCTCTCTCTCTCTCTCTCTCTCTCTCTCTCTCTCTCTCTCCCTCCCTCTCTTCCAAAATCCCACCCATTTCTGAGGCTGTGGGGGTTTCTTCCACCCACCGTCACCTCCCTAAATCAGGTCATACCACTCTTCCCAGGAGAGCTGCAGTGGCCTCCCCATGGTCTCTCCACCTTCTCTCTTGGCAGTCCCATCCACTTTCTGGGTTGTAGCTAGTGTGGTTTTTCCAAACCACGTCTTCACTTTAAATCTTTCAGCTCTCAGTTTCAACATGGCTTCCACTGGGAAAAAGTCTAAGATCCACGATGGCCCAAGTCTGCCATGAGCACCTTTCCAGCCCACTCACTTAGCACCGGTGCTTCTCCTTGTGCAGCATTTAAGCACTCATTCAGAGTTGGCCTGTTGAAGTGTCTGTTTCACTCCTTAAGAGCAGGGATGTGTGTTGCTACCTCATCAACAGACACAAAATAGACCATCAACAAATATTTGTCAAGAGAATACCAGAGTTAGTCTTCTCAGATTGTTTTTAAAAGTTCTCCATCAATTCTTATTTGATTAATTTGTTGGGCAAACCGACTCTTACCCACTGCATGCAAGGGTAACCTTTGTCTTAACCTTGATCAATTGACTGTGAATTCCAAATCAGGAAGCCTGAATGCATTGCTGTGTCTGGTTTTACTGCTGCTCCCAGCTAAGCAAAAAGCACTCTGAAGGATGAGGTAGCCACCCTGCCCTGGGAGCTAGGAGGTCTGGGACCTTCCCATCTCTATGTCACCTTGAACCAACTGGCTCCCAGCAAATATACCCAAAAAGGTTTGGCAACTTGCCAGGTGCCAAAAATAAGGAATCTCCTGACCAAAACTCAGTGGCTTCTGCAGTGTGGGCAGGGGGCCAGACCCAGGAAGCTGAGGCCTCTCCAGCTCCACCACATTGTGTATGATTCTCTCGCCTCCAGCACCCACATCTGCAGCCGCCGGCCCCCAATGCAGATTAAGTCCTTTGATGGCAGACTCTAAAAACACGAGAAAAATTTTCTCTTTGGTAGGAACATTTGAAATAACATCTTTTCAAGTGTGTCGAAGATCAGAATATGAATAGGATGGGGGTGTGGTAGGAAGGGGTTGTGAAAGGAGGGGCTGGGGCCCACAGCTTGGACGATTCTGAAAGGGGTGGTGTTGAAGCTTGCTTTCTTTTCTCTACAAAATGACAAAATCACTGTGGGGACATTTACAGCCAGAATCTATTTGACATTTTTAAATCTCTGAAATCATCAAAAATAAACCAGTGTCCCATGTGTGTTGGCAAGGAAAATGCTTTATGTCGTGGGGTTGTTTAAAAGACACCAGTAGAGCCTGGTTGGCTTAGGCAAGTTTGCTGTCTGAGTTTTTGGATAATTGAAACATTAGTTATGGTTTCCTGGGCAGCATTTACTTCATGTGGAAGCCAGGGTGGAGAGGACCAATCACTTACCTACAAGTCACTCTGCAGACACAGCTAGCATGTCAGGTCTACACCCTCTCACTTTTGGAAAGGAGAGGAAGGAACAGCAATGAAAATATTCAAAGTGCATGACAGAGCGATGTGCTGTGTGATTACCATTCATGAATTAAACCAGCCTTCACAGCTGGGTCTTACAGCCCAGTCCTAGACCCCTGGCTCACCCCTAAAAATCTAGAAAAACATATGAGCCTCAGCTTCTCATTTCAGAGGGGCTAGGATTAGATCTCAGTAATCCTTGGAAGGTCCTGGAGCCTTGACCCCCTCCCTCATGCTCCCTGGCCCCTGGAATAGCGACTTGTTGGGCAAACCTCATGAACAAGCACTTGGCCCAGAAGGCAAAGAAACAATAATCATCTTTCCCCATTCTCCAGCTGACATTTTCTAACACTATCAGCCTCCACAATTTTTACTCAGTTAATTGTCTTTTAGGGTCCGATGTGATGTCAAAATCCAGCAGCCCACCAGCAATTAATGACAAATCCCAGCACAGATGCTGACAACAAGGGAAACCTTCAGCATTGCTGAAGATGCTGTTCTTTGTATGGAAAAAGCAAAAAGGAAGGAGAAAGAGGGCCTGGGCCTTTTGACTCCAAACTCAGAGAATGGACCAAAGTGGGGAGTGCAGCCAGAGCCTGAAACAGAGTCCTCAGCACAGCCCAACCCTGGACTGTACCCTTCCAGGAAACCCAAGACATAACATGGACAGGAGGCACCCAAACCAGGAAAGCTACATGTGACTTCGTACTGACAGAAGTGCAGGCTCTGAGTGGTGCAGCCCTATGTCCTTATTGGGATCTCACCCGCAGACCCGTACCCAGTGACGGATGAACAAATACACTCAAACACAGAATACAGTGAAAGAGAGGGCTAGGGGTCCATGGCCACAGATACTGCAGAGAGAGTTAGCAGCTGGCACTCGGGGCATTTATTCAGTATAGATTTAATAACAGAGACTCTGAGTCAACACACTTGTGGATAATGATTAAAGATCAGGTTCTGAGGCCTAAAGCAAACACCATTTGTGAGTAATAAACCCAGTCGCCCTTCTGCTGAGAGAGCCATCTGGTCTGCAAATGATTAAAGGTTAGTTTTAGAACCATGTGAGTAAACAACTTATTTAGATAAACTCTACTCTATGTTATTTTCGCAAGGAAAGGGGATTAGGCTGCCTTCAACCATAACCTCCTTCCCAAGGCTTTTGCAAAAACCTTCTGGCCTTCCAAGAAGGTTTGTGACTATTATAATTATGCAATCTCTCCCACCATCCTGACTGAACCCCCACATGTCATGAATGTAGGTTGGCCATTCTATTTGGAAACAGGAGGCCAGGGTGGCTTTGTGTCTGGCATTCTTTCTCTGTTGTCTTTATAAATACACCCAAAAAGATTTGGTAACTTGACAGGTGCCAAGAATAAGAAATCTCCTGACCGAAAACTTAGTTGACAGCCATTGTCAGTGTAAGAAATACTCCTGTCCTTCCAGGAAAAGGTGTGCACCAACATTCTAACTCCAAACTTGTCCAAAATATTTGCTTCTGGTTTCTGAAACTTTTTGGATTGTAGAACCTTTTGAGTATTAATTAGGCAGAAGTTCTGGACCCTCATTCCAGACAAAGAAGTTTTGTCTATAATTTCCCCTAAAAGCAAGGAGCTTTGGAGCTCACTTATAACCTCCAGTTTAGCATCCTGTGTTAGGTGATGACAAAGAACTCCCTCCAAGGAGAAGATTCTGCACTGTGATGTGCAAATTATTATTGTTATCCCCAAATACCTTGTAAATGATCAGTTTTAACCAAAATTCAAGTTATTTACAACAACTTACCAGGAACATCTCTGCCGATAAAGCAAGATATGCCTGTGGTATGAAGGAGCAAGATGGTCTCTGAGGGGGAAGGCTGGAAGAAACTGAACAATGTGTGTCAATTGCAATCTGGACTGCTTCAAGAGATTGTCTGAGTTGGAGTACATCACTGATACTTTCTTGAGTGTCTTGTCTGCTTCTGATCATTTGTCTGAGCAGCATTTGTCCAAGGTGTGTTTAGTGACAATGTTAGTAATGAGTTTTGCGTATGTTCTCTCAGCTGGTGTGATTTATTTCTGACTAGGTGGGCTATAATTTTGTGCTGCTGAAACATATGTTACCTTGCAGTTGAAATAAGACTCCAGGAGTCAGGCTCATTTTCCATCTATTTGGTTGCCACCTTTTCCTCCCCAGTACCCCAAATGCACTGTCAGGAGTGGTCACTAGACCTAGATGTTTTAGCAATCACTGCCCAATCCAGATTTTCAGCTGGGATCATGTAAGCACTGAGTTTTGGGGGAACATTTCTCTAAGGGCAGAGCAAGCTGCTTGGCAGGGTACTGGTTCTCTACAGGAAGAGCTGAAAGGCACGACCAGGCACACCCCAGTAATGTGCAGTTTGTGCCCCACTGAGAATGGAGGAGTGGGTGAGAGCCAGCTCACTCTTGGCTTAGCAAGCTCTGCAATCTTGGTGTTGCGTCTGCCTAGAGAAGGTGGTTTTTACTAATGCTCACAAAGACACTATATGGGTTAGCAAGGCCCTAAGAACACCACAGGTGTAATGATGGGCAGGTCAGGGGTGTAAGAGAAGGGTCCCAGGAGTGAGTCCCTGTCTGATATCTATCCAGCCCTGAGGCTTTATGGTAAAAACAGACAGGACAGGACCCACGATATGTTTAGCGTTGGTATTTGGGATAAGGCATTGGCTTAGCATGAGAAGCACTCAGGCCTCTCAGTGGACAAAACACTAGAGCTGGTGGCAGACAAGAATCAACATTTTTTCTGCTTACAAGTTGCTGCAAATCGTTCATCAGGGTTTTCATACTGGGCCTCTCATCTTCTCAACCTTGCAGTAAGTTCTAGAAGGACTGGGCCTTCTATTTGTGTAAGGCCTGCTGAGTGCCACACCTGGCCCTGGACTTGTAGAATTCAGTGTCTCTGGGCCCATGCCTTTGCTCATGCAGTCATGAGTGTCCCTGAAGTGCAACTCTGTTCACTAGCAAAATCTGA